TTTGGCTACATTTATTAGTAAATTCGACTCATCGCAGCCACCAATGAAATATGGGCAATACCTTTAGACCGTTCCCATTGATATTGCCCCGCAATTTTAGACCGATATTTGTTATAGTCTGTCATTACCTAATAAGTTTCAACTTTAGCGAGTGATAAGTGATCTAACTGAGAACATATAAACTCCGATCAAGAAAATATATATATGGTCCATGGAGATGTTATCCTTATTTCTGGCTATTGCTCAAGAATATACAATCGAATTATTTTCCTTAAAGTGCTTTCAATAATAACAAGTAAGAACATTATAGTCGGGCAAGGACGACTGAAACAATTGTTATTTTTGGATGATATTACTATAATTGGTCAACATTCTGGTCTACAAAGGATCGATTTTCGTGAAAATTTTTATTAGGGTAGAATCCACAAAATAGGTCGAGATGGTCCAAATTTGGTACAATTAATTTTTTTATGTTAAATTATTATGATGATATAATTTTCATCATGACGCACTAAAAATTATACTTTTTTGTCGCATGAATTTCAGTTTTCTTCATATGGGGGAGAGTTCAAAAATTGCCGCAGTCGATCTAATCTTTTCAAACCAATCTAAAATGCCGAAATACGATTATTTAGTCAGCGTTTAAGAAGAAATTTCGAAAATTACAACTTTTCCCATATAATGACCTTTCATAATAGAACGTTATATGGGAAGTGTGCGAAAAAGTGGGCCGATCCGAACCAATTCCAATAGCATTCGTCCTTGAATCCAAAATACGTCATTATATCAAATTTCATCAAAATATCTCAAAAGCCTATAGCGAGCTGCAGGTTGAACACAAATTTAGATGGGCAGACATCAGACGAACAGACGAACAGACAGGCTTAGAACAATTCAGATTACGATTCTGAATTGATCGGTATAATAAAAGGTGGGTCTATCTTAAACATTCTGCGTGTTAAGTACGACCGCACTGATTAAATATAAACTGCACCACAAATGGTGTAGGGTACAAAAACCATTTATTGTGAAATTCTGAGAACTAATATACGTTTAAAACTCACTACATTTCATCTATACTCTGCTGTTGTTCTAGAAATCTGTTTTTGACGTCTCGCTCTCTAGAAATCAACTTGAAAGTTATTTCTGTAAAAGTATTGAGACAAATTATGAAGTAGTAAGCTTGGGCGGTGGATGTCCTCGAATTAAGAAGAGAACTTTGGGTTAAGAGTAAATATTATTTGTATAAATGTTTTATTAAAATGTATTGAGATGGACAATATCTGCAAAATCGTCTATGAACCTCTTGATATCTTGCACTCTAGAATCATTCACGTTCCAAAAAGATCAATAGATCAGCCATATTAGAACATCACCGTAGCGAATAAATCTTTGCATTTCTATAGTGAGCATTTTTTGATTATTACCAGAGAGTAAATGTGAAGTGATCCTGAAAGGTTTTACTTCATTCGAATATAACTGATGTTTTACAAGTGCACACCAAAACAAATTCATAGTAATTTCATGGATTAAATGTTTGATTAGAAATACGCTTTGTGCTATGAAATTGGTTTTAAACGAATACCGATGTGTATACGTAAATGTTCAATAGCTGATCGAAAGTATGTTAAGTGAAATTAGCTTTATATTCTCATAGTCGTGGTAGGGTAATTTTCAAGGAACTTGAATACAATCCATCGGCTTGGTCTTCTTTACCGCCACTTTTCTTGTGATATGTTTCTTTTAGGAAATTATTTCACTCAGAAGATTCGTGTTTCACTTTATAAAAGTCAGAAATAGATGTCGGGCATCCCGGGGACTCTACACGTGGCTAACTAGTGTTAGATTTTATTGATTTAGTCAAGTGCGTCTGTCCGTCCAACTGTCCGTAAGAAGTTTAGGACTGGACAAGTCGAGCTTAAAAAAGTTGGACATGAGCGAAATGTAAAGATGGATCGTCAAAAAGATTGCATTGCAATTTGCAATCTGTAGCAGTTTGATTGATTCATATGACAAAATAATCGAATCACATAAAAACATAGCAATACAAATGTATATATGTAGCACAATATAAATGTATATATGTCCTGTGAGAAGGTTAAAAATTGCGCAAAAATATTTTACTGTCACTTTTAAGCGGTTTTAATGAAAACGAATACGCCCAACCCGCCCAATTGAAACACAATGCTTCGACCCATTGGTTTATTCATTTGAAGTCGTTGAGGATGATTGAATACATTCCCCCGTAGCCGAACATAACTTTCTTCCTCGTTTTTAAATGTGATAACCGATGCATACAAATCGGTTTTGAAATGTTGAAGGAACTATAAACACGTGTCAAAATCTACACGGAAGTAGAGAATTAAATATGAAACTTGAAGGTGGTGCTGTCTAAAGTGAATGCATGAAGACAATCTGTTTTTTTTTTTTTTAATTTTTTCTAATAACTTATGAAAGACAATTTTGTTATGAAAATTGTATTCGTTTAAGTTCTTCAATTGAAAGGTAATTCTGTTTCCTATCTGGATTGAGTCCACTTGTGGATTGCATTCATCTCCTAATTTGGTCTGCCCTACAAAGTTAAAATGATGTGATCCCTGGCGAACATTTGTAACGGGTTCAGAATTTGTTACACCAATCAGTGCGCGTATGAGTACATGATAGAATTTAGGACGTGTAGATTTTGATACCGTAATCGTAACAAATGTAAGATGTCTCCTGTCTTATCGCATCCACAAAAAGAATTATGGTAAATGCATGACATGTAACACACCTTGAAAATGAGTTTTTTTTCTCATACCCTACATCACTTGTGGTAGGTAAGAAGGGCTTCTTAAAGACCCGCATAAGTTTGTCTCTCCGTCTTTCCATGTTGTTTTCTTTTGTGCAACGTGGGGCAATTTTCGAAATATTTCGTTGAAAATTTTTAGATTGACCCCAAGGAAGAACAGGAAATGGTTCGAATTGGGTTGACCACTTCCTATATAATGACTTGTGTTTAAAAAAGTCTTTATGTTAATAATTGTACGGTGGTGTAGGCTATTCAATGGCGCGCCGTGCCCTACTATCGTCTTTTTACTTTAGGTTGTTTACTTACAATCACTATTAAAACTTATATTCACTTGGTTTCTTTGGATCAGTCGCTCATTCATTCATTCATTCATTCATAATTTTTTTTTTTAATAAATATTTTAATTACATATAATAGAATAGAGTATTTAGTATATGTATAATAGAATAGAATTTTATTACTATGTATAATAGCATTGAGAGATTATGAAGAGTATTTCAAGTTGATGAATAAATTTGTTGTATTTATATAACATGTAAACAAAATCATATGTTCAGTAAATAGCTTTATTGGTAAAGTAAATAACATATATTTGAAAATTGAAAAAAAGACTGAATAAAAAGCGCTAAGAAATATAGTCTAAAAGAAAAATATATTCGGCCCAATAATGATGTTGGTATTATTTATGAAAAGTAAATGAACGAAATGATGATATTTTTTACATTATTTTATGTTATGACTTTCAGTCTTCTTTGCCTCGTCAACTATTGCACTGACTATGAATATGAATCTCTCATAGAAGTCGGCATTATTTTAATATATCAATTGGCAATTGAGTGTAGTTTCTGGTCGTGGTCGTTCGCAGAGCTAACATTATTCTTCCCTCCTAGACTCCTTCGAACGTGATAACATCGTTTCTTTCGAATACCGAAAATTTCCAATACCTCAAAATTGGTGCTGATAGTGCTATACGTGCAAATATTCAATTGGAGTCCAATCTTGCAATCAGTAACATGGTTTTTTCGTCAAATCCACAGAGCGCTGGATGTTCTTCTAAATATGGCGAAGGTGTTCAATTCCTAAGAACACATAAATTACATTAGAAAGCTTTATATATATATACATATATAAATATGTATATATGCAGACAAAATTAATGAAAAAAATGCGTGATATTTATTCTTCTGTAACCAGTTCATTATCATTATTGTGAAAGGATCGTAAAATAAAATGAATTCTACTCTCCAATAATTCGCATAACGCGAAAAAGTTTTCCGATCCAAATAATTTCTAGTAGCAATCGTCTTTGAGTCAAATTTCATGAAAAAATCTAGAAAATTGCAAACAATGGGTTAAAAGCAAGATGGACAGACAAGCTTAGACCGACCTCACCTTTTTGTCTACTCATTTAGCCGGCGTACGACACTTGTGAGTAACGGGATAAAGCAAAGCTAGCTAGTTTGACAGTAACGATGTGTGTGTGTTAAGCTCTTTTCACAGAGAGTTAATATACCTTTGTACCATAAATAGGTGTAGCGTATAAAAATATAATGAAAATTTATAAAATCATTATTTGATTATTCTTCAACTCATCAAATATATATGTATATATATAAGGGCCTTTTCTGAGAAATTATGCATTTGCTCATTTACATAAATCTATTTTTCATATTTTGCAAAATAAAAATTTTTTATTAAAAGTTGGACTCTATTTCATTTTTGAGGGTTAAATGTCAGCGGCATATATTATATTATGTATATATATGCATTATAAAATGCATTGTTCAGAAGGGTAAAGAGCAGAATAGTCTCTTTATACTCAGCGCTTGCATTAGAAACGAAAGTTATTTCAGAATGAAACGCTTTCGCATTCTCCCCAACGAAAGAATGCAGTGCGCGTGTGGTGTGAAAAATTGTGAAAAAGAAACAAACCCCTATGATTTTTATGTCAGAAGCAGTTCTTATTGACAATTTGTATCAGAAACATCATATAACGCTAAATATGGCAAAAAATTAAGAATAAAAAAATTTGAAATAATAATAATAAATAATTCTAAAGTAAACAAAGTAAGTTTTCAAATAAAAGTTTAATTCTCAAATTTGCCGCGTGGCCGACTGTTAACGATTTTTTTTTTTTATCGATTTTTTACATTTACCGTTTCGTTCATTTGTGGCCGCAACAAAAAACATAAAACATATTTTATAGATTTCTCTGCAAGCGGAAGATATTTTCAAAAAAAAAATAAAAAAAAATAATGTAATAAAATTGTAACGATGGCTGCAGAAGAAAAAAATTTAAATCTGTCAAATTCAGCTGCTCCCAGACCGCTAGATAGAGAAAATAGTGATATGACATCTTTGGATCAGCGTTTGTTTAGGGATGTTAAGAGTGTCCTTCCAGTGAAAAGGTAAATATTTCGTTAATTTTTAATATGTATTTGTGACAAAATAAAAACGATATGTACGCTAAAATATTTACACCTTGATTTTAGGCAAGAAGTTCTTAAATGGTTCGGCTGGGGCTATAAAGATTCGGAGTTTTATGTTAAAGATGAAGTTTTGTGTTTTCGTGGAGAAAAGTAAGTAACAAAACCAATTAATTGATTAAACATTATAGCCGGATTTAGAAACCTTTCTTTGGTCCTTTGTAATTGCAAGTTGTAAGGTTTTTAATGAAGCCTGCAATGGACGAGCTATTTCGAGTGATTTTGCGGAAATTTTGTTGGGAAGTCTGTCCATGAATAGAAAGTAATTTGTTTTTAAGGACCAATTAGTCCTATTTGTCACGGCAAGAAAGAGGAAAAGGAAAGATAGGGAGTGGGCCGCGGTCTAGTGAGTTTGTTTGCCCAATCGGTAAGTGTTGTGCTTTTATCGACTGAACTTTCTCATCAGTCATGACCGAAAATGAACTGAGGTTTGGACGAGCGAATATTGACTTGTTAGTCGCCTACGCGGTTTTTACCTATTCAAAGTCTCTCGCGCGAACAATCAAGTTTACATCAAAGCCATTTATAAATTTACTTAAATTATATAACATTTTATTCATTTGTCTTATGCATGGAATATCAAATCAAGAAATCGCTTTAGGCTCCATGCTTCTAGTGGAATGTCATCTACGGAATCGTTGAAAATGTTAAAAAATCTATAGTAACTATACTGAATGTTACGGACGGGCACTTCGATTATATAAAGTAGTGACAAGTCAAAAAATATACGTTACGTGGAGTTGGAGTGACACTTCGAATATAAGCGAGGCTCAGACAAAGGGTAAAAGACTCGAACCCGGGGGAGAGTAATGTCAGCCAAGGGGATAGGAAGTGATAAGTGTCACAGCCAAAAAATCAGACTTTTTTTACAAATTAATAGATTTTCCATACCTTCCATAAGGTATCGTTGAGACGCTCGGGTTGATTTGGTTTCATTCTCTTTTGGATTCTAACAGTCTTTGGACTTAGCTCGTTTTGACCGTTGGTCAATGAAATAATGTTGGCAAAGTCTAAATAATATTGCGAGAGGACCCTTGCAGTCTACCTTAATTACAAAATCTAATGTGAGTAAATTTCTGGTGTCTCCGCCAAATGTAACGATTTCCGCTTCTTCAAAAATTAAATTTTTTCCTTCAACTTCACAAGAGTTAAACGATGTAAGGGATGAACGAATGAACGAATGAAAAATGCATTCGAACTGATTCCGAGAATCATCAATGGAAAGTGCTTCAACGATTACTTTAAGCTTTAGCTTGTTTTATAGGAGATCATATAAACTTTACAAAATTATTTGCTTTCGTAGTCACTTCCGGTAATTTCTCGACTTTTGGAAAGAAAAGTTTCTGTCGAATTTTTATTATCTGAGTTTAACGGCTTATGCTTTTCTTAATTTGCATTAATATTTAAAATTGTCTGTTTTTAGATATCCCCTCGACGACTGTAGCTTACCATATTTTACGGACTGGGTAAGAGAGAAACTTAACATAAACTTTAGCAAACTGCCACCGAAGGCTTCGTTACCGCAAACGTTCCCTAAACCTACCGATAATTCACAATTCGTAGAAGAACTTAAGACGGCAAATATTTTGTACTCTCAAGATGGATTGGATAGATTAATTCGTTGTCATGGCCAAGCACTACATGACATTTACTATTTGCGTCATAATATGTTCAAGAGGATACCGGACATTGTTACATGGCCTTGCAATCATGATGAAGTAAAGAAATTGGTGACGCTGGCTCATAAGCATAATGTCGTTGTTTTACCATATGGCGGTGGCACTTCAGTTTCAGGATCTATTACCTGTCCTCAAGATGAGATAAGAATGATTTGCGTCTTGGATACAAGTCAAATGAATCGCATGTTATGGCTGAGTAAAGAGAATTTAACGGCATGTTTTGAAGCTGGCATAGTAGGGCAAGATTTAGAAAAGATTTTAAATAGTGAGGGCTTAACATTGGGTCACGAACCGGATAGCTATGAGTTTTCTACATTAGGCGGTTGGATCGCAACACGAGCTTCGGGCATGAAGAAAAATACTTACGGCAACATAGAGGATTTGGTAGTTAGTGTGAAATTCGTTGCACCTTCCGGGGTATTGGAGAGGCAATGCAATGCTCCTCGTATATCTTGCGGACCCGATTTTAATCATATAGTCATGGGCTCGGAGGGTACTTTGGGTGTGGTCACAGAAGTAGTCTTAAAAGTAAGGCCATTACCACCTATCAAACGTTACGGGTCTTTATTATTTCCCGATTTCGAGTCTGGTGTTAAGTTTATGCGTGAGGTAGCACGTAGACGCTGTCAACCTGCTTCTGTACGTCTTATGGACAATGAACAGTTCATAATGGGACAAACTTTAAAGGCGAAAAAGGAATGGTTGGGAGAATTTTTGGATTACTGCAAAAAAGCATACCTGACAACAGTCAAGGGCATGGATTTAACACGTTTATGTGCGGTCACATTGCTATTTGAAGGCGAGCAGAAAGATGTCGATCGCCAAGAAGCTGTAATACTCGATATAGCGAAAAAGTTTAAAGGATTTTCCGTGGGCGATAAAAACGGCCAAAGAGGATATATCTTAACATTCGTTATAGCCTACATCAGAGTAAGTAGAAAAAAAAACATGAAAAACAAAATCAAAAAAAGCCTAAGTGTTGTTGATATTGAAATCTCTGTGATAGGATTTGGGCTTACAGTATGATGTAATGGCAGAATCGTTTGAAACCTCGGTACCCTGGGATCGTTGTTATACTTTATGTTGCAATGTTAAAAGACGACTAGAAATGGTAAAATCGAACTTGCGCTTCCCGCATAGAAGAAGAAAATTAATTGTGTTTTTTTCTTTTAATTTTTCAGGAATGTCAGAAGCGTAACATTAACTATTTTCTAGCATCGTGTCGTGTAACTCAAACTTATGATGCCGGCGCATGTGTTTATTTCTATTTCGCTTTTCTTAGCACGAATTGTGTAAATCCTGTCGAAACATACGAGATAATCGAAGCGATTGCCAGAAACGAAATCTTATCGTTAGGCGGTTCAATATCTCATCATCATGGAGTGGGGAAAATACGTAGTCCATGGTATGGGATGACTGTTACCGATACTGGCGTTGAGTTATATAAGGCAACCAAGTATCAATTGGATCCAAAAAACATATTTGCTGCCGGAAATTTATTGCATGAAAAAACGTTGAATTTAATGACTGCTAGAGCGAAACTTTAAACTGAACATGCCATCATATTCGGTTTCAATCAATACTCGCGTAATACGGTTAAGGACTTTTTTTGTTTTCTATTATTATTTTTTTTTTTTTTTATTCTTTATTAATTAATTAAATAGTTAAGATATTGTTTAAGTATGTTTGTTCGTATGTGTGTTTTGAAATTCAACGATTGAATTCACGTCACTAGAATACAAAAAGTTTGCGTGAAAAGTAAGAATTTCTACAAATTGTAACAATTACTTTGCCCAAAAAGTGAGCATTAGTCAGTCGACCTAGACGCCCCTGTCTAGACAATTTTATATTTAGTTTAATCCAAATACACGTATACGCGTACGTACGCATATATACTTTTTGATTTTTAATCCAATTTTTTTTTTCATTTTGATTTCATTCTTTTTTTTTTTTTTTTTTTTTTATTTAATTTAAATAGGTTTAAATATTTTTAGCTTCCGCGACAACAATTTTGTTTTAATTTTATTTGGCACAAATGCGAGATTTTTTCCTATGACCGTTTATGACAAATATTTATGCGAGTGCAATTAACTAAGGCAAGGAAGGCACTGTATAAAGCACACAATTGTGTTCCCCTTTTATTATTATCATTAAAAAAAGAACTTAATTTCGCTTAGAAAAAAAGTCATATCTTTTCTTCAAAATGCTTAACATATTTTCCGCTATCTAGCCAAACAAGAAAAGAAAGCATTCCATACACAAAGTGACAGTTACCCACAAAAAGAGATGTTGTGTGGGTTGACCGGTTGAGACCATAATCGTAATACAATATCCCCAATATATGAAATTAATCTTTGGCCAATCGCGACCATTTATCACTCTACGCTGCCAGTGGGATTGAATTTTGCTCCATTACATATAATAAAAACATCAATTCTTTTGTATCTTATAATGCCACAATTTGAACATAACTATCACGGAGAATTGCGGAAAATAGCGCACTTAATAAGGAAAATCAAAAAAAAAAAAAAAAAAAAAAAAATGCAAATCACTTAAGCGAATGTTTATGGATAGTAATGAAGAATGAATGAATGAAGAAAATGGGACACGATTGTTATGATGAATGAATTGTCATAATTTTTAAGAAAATAATAAAAATCGATTGAAGAGTGGGAGTGTAAATAGCCGCCATAAGAGGAAAAGATTCTTCACATAAGTTATTTACCTATTAACTTACTCACCTCGTACGGTCGTGTTGTTATTCATTGTTAAAATGCTTGATTAATGAATGAAACAGTATTTTGTTCGTTGCCATATTTGGGTTACGTGTTAACTTGATGCCGCATTTGGGTGCTGTGCTGTTCTCTCAGTTGTTGTTCTTGTTTTGTTTCACTCATAGTTACGCATGCTTGACTGTCGGTGTGTAAAATAGCTTAGAACAGTTTCAGGCCGTTACATGGTTCGTTACGTCATATGACGTAAAACGAGGAATTTAAAAAAAAAAATGACATTGTTGTTGCTGCAGAAATTTTATATGGTCTGAAAAAACATGTCAATTTAAGTAAACGTTTTGAAATTTCAACAAAATTTTGAACGCTTGAAGTAATAATTGAGGAAAATGTTTTCATAACATGCAGTAACTGAAGATACAAATATAAATATGTTTTAGATATGAGTTGCATTGAATATTAAAAAAGAACTAAAGTGATTTCGGGAAATATTATTCTAAAAATGTAGCGGATAGAGGGCATGCTATATTATTTGCTATGATAATTATATCAATAAAAATTAAACGTTTCTACTCTTAATTTGCCTGAAACTTTACCGAACGAATCAGTGTAAGAGGAACATTTATTAGTTTTTCTGTCTAAATATATGTTAGTCGTTAAAACGTTTGATCAAATTTAAAGTTTGATTAGTGAGTGTATAAATTGTTACACCAATTGGAAAGTGTACATCATATTTTCATTACATTTAAAAAAAAACTTTGACTTATGTTTATGTAAAATGTCTGGAAATTCCTTTTTACAATGATAGTAAATAGCTAAGCAAATTGCTCTCTCATTACCATATTTCCTCCTAGCAACATGTGCCTAAATAAATAGCTAAGCAAATTGCTCTATTACCACATGTTTCTAAGCAAGCAACATTTCCTCAACACCTGCAACAATTATATAAAACCATCAACATGAACTTTTGTGCTCCTGTAAGAATTAAAATACATCTGTTAAGATATCTTCTCTCAGTTTCTCTTATGCTGCTCATAAAGGTTACTTTAGTCAATTCGTATTTCAATAAGGCACTCGTTGCAGAAAGTATTATCTGATCGTCAATTAGTGTGATTTTCAATTTATAATCTTAATACTAGACATCGATAATGGTTGCTCATAAAATTAAGAGAAGATTTAGCATAAAATTTGAGCACATTTTGATTACGGAATAGTAAAAACTATGTCTAACTTCGCATACGATTTTACGGGTTTAATTCGTTTCCTAAAGTTTTCTAAAAGATTTTTTTCCTTATGAAATATTTACTTATGAAATTCGCATTAATATAAAAAATTACCCATAATAAATACATCTGACTTAATCTAAAATAGGGTTAATGCGGTTGTAAAAGTTCTTTTTACCTAATATAGATTTATTTATGTAATTCGCAGTGATATACAAAGTTACATATGATCGATGATCGATGATGATATATGATATGTTTTATATTTTCGGTTGGTCTTGGTATTACTGCAAAAGTTATGTTATTATATTGTTACGAAAATCCCAAATTCAGTTAAATGTCAGCTAAGTAATTTTCCTAAGAATAAATTCCCTAAAGAAGAGAAAACCAAATGAGCATTCGCAGGCGCCTCATGCAGCTGCAGGCCAATGAAAACGATTAGTGGAAAAGCAAACAGGTAAAAGCTAAGTGCATATTCGCAGGCTCGCCATGCAGGTGCAGGCCGATGGAAACGATTAGAGGAAAAACCAAGCTGGGATTAGACCATAGCCAAAAATTTAGGTATAGTAACATTCTTGTAAAATTGTATATAAATCGAATATTTGTGAAAAGTAGAGTTAGTCTGGCAAGAAGTTAGAAGTTGAGAGTACGGCCAAAATATATCGTAAATAAATATTCCTACTGTTGTGAGAGACAAAGTAGTAAAATAAAAGAACTTTGAAGTGCATTTCTCTTGATCAAAATACTCAGGATCTAGTGATACGGACTGTATCTTGTAAAAAGCGAATTTCATAACAATATATATTGATATACATTCATGACATTTCATATTTTTTTACTGAAGATTAAAATTAAGTCAAAAGGAGTTGAAAATATCTCTTATCAAATTGTCGTCGTACAATGTGCAAAAATTCACATTAAAAGCCGGTGATCTGACAGCAAAAGTGTGTATATCATATGAATTAAAATTATAATTTTATGTATAAAAAACGCTAGTTTTCATCAAGTTGGCACACAAGTACGTTTTAATAAAATTTAACCTGCTTTGGAAATTATCTATAAAATTGAGTTTATTTAAAGCATATGCCTGCAAATACCATCCAACACTTATTCCTCCAACAATAGCAATCAACAAAATGTTATCTATTTGATAAAAAATGTTGATGAGAAACTACGACAAATTCGCAGCATAGAAATACGAGTAGCGACTTTGCAAGTAATTTTTGAGGGCAAATCGAATGCATTGCATTCCCTTGAACGTGACAAACCCGTGGCTATAGTAGCCCTAGATATGACTTATTCCTATTTCTATAAAATGATAATGGATTCAACGCCTTTGTGTCAACTGCCTAATATAAAATGTTTACTTTTTGAAAATGAAGGTTAACTAATCGCCCATCCTTCTATGTTGCAGCCTAGAACTCGTATCCGAAATCATAGACGTCCTTATGAGCATGTAACACACAAAGAATCTTATCTTGCCAATGATATTTTAAATCATAAAATCTTGGTACATAAGCCTGGGTCTTGTAAATACTTACATATATGCAAACATATAAAATATTTATTCTTGATATCGATTAATATATATATATATCAAGGTTTGAAATACGTTTACGTTTAATGAAGTGTTTGCGGACGCTTCAACATAAGTTGTTGTAAGTTAATAATAAATAAATTCGGAAAATATTTATCAAATTGAAAGGACTTTGGGCTGAACCTAGAAAATTGTATTACCGAAAATACAGATTCGTCATTAAGTAATATTTTTTTTTGTTTAATTCAACAACAGCGTTACGTGACGACTGGCTGAGGAAGTTCTATAATTAAGCCTTTAATGGTTTAAAAAGCTGTTGTTTAAGAATTTTACTCAAAACATTTTTATTGTTATTGTATTGCTGAAGTAGGAACTGTAGCGTGACAAGCGCTGTTTAATTTTTTCTCACCTTTTGTTTTTGTTGTAATTTGTTTCAGAGAGAGAGAGAGAGAGGAGAAGAACGATATGTGAGCAGAATTAAATTTTTATACGATTTGGAATGAAAATAATTTATTATTGTGTTAGGTGATCAATTCTGGCTTAGAAAAGGTTGGCCAACTGTAACAGAGTTCTGTTAAGGTTTGATGTTGTACTGGAGTGTTGTTGCTGCATCTTGTATCTTGAACTTGCAACCATCTTATCTCCGACGATTTCGTTTTAGTTTACGCTCGCATAATGTTGTGCATCTATACTCTCAGAAGCTTGCGAATTGAGTCGGATACAAATGACAATTAATTAAACAGTTTTTGAAAATCTTCTTGAATTGGCAGTTGATAAAAGACAATACAATCGCAAAGTTATCAAAAATTTAAAAAAAAAAAAAACAATGTTTCCTTACCATACGTTTCAAATTATAAAATAAATGAAAGATATATTTATATATATGAACACAGCAAACTTCATGCAACGTTTGCATATGCATGTTATATCAAGAGATTTCGTTTCCGATTGCTTAAAAACTCAAAAAACATTGTTGCTTTGGCTGGATAGGTTGTTTGGCGGTTTAAGTTATTCGTATTTGCTTAAGCATCACGATTTTTCTACTTTGGCATTATTGTTTTGCTTGCTCTGAGAGGAGATTTCTTTCATTATATGCAATTGTTGTTAGTGTTTTCTTGAATTTTGAACAGTAAAGATGTGGTGTGTGGTGTGTCGCGACAACTTGTACGAAATGATATACGTAAATGTATACAAAACTTAATATACAATAAATAAATTCTTATAGATTCTATAATTTTTGTTGTTTGATAAAACGTCGGTCGGTTTGTTACAACGTTTTTTAACGCGTTTTCGGAGGGAGTTCAAAATCATGTCGAAAAATTGAAGATATATATATTTAAGAAAATTAATTATTAACTAATAATAGAGATATGAAAAATGTTTCGATGGTTGATTTTTTGTTTCATTCTATGAGAAAATAAT